ATTCTCTGGGGATCTTGCTACTCCCCTCCCCTGCTGTTCCGCTGCACTCCCCCAGTGCTTTGCCTCAGTGTGGCGGGGTCAGATCAGGCGCAATTCCCACACTGTGTCACTGGTGTTGTCCCCCGCAGGGCCATGGGTCAGTGAGGGCATTTACAGTGTTTTGTTTTGTTGACAAAGGAGTTCATAACCAGACCTTAAATTAATTAACTATTGTTAGAGGTATTTAGGATGAAAAGCAGCATTTCTCCCACTACCTCTGTCCCCTCTTCATCTCCTTCCCAGAGGGGACCACCTTGAACTCTCTGAGCGGTTTCCGAGATTCCTTGCGCATTGACTTCCGTGATGATAACTAAGGTTTTGGTTTATCACGTTTACACTTCATTGCTTCCTCTTCCCCATGTCCTTTTGATCGAGTCATTCATCCATTCAGCCCCTGGGTGGCACAACCATGTAAGCACTGGGTTTCTACGGTAGCCGTCAAGCTGGGCAGTTTCCGTCTACCCGAAGGTGCCTCCACAGAAAGGCCTGGCGATCTCCTTCTCTGAGAGACCCAGCCCTCGACAACCTTCTGGGGCCCAGGTGTACTTTGAGATAAAGGGGGTCTCCATGAGTCCCAGAAGTGACTTGCTTGCAACTGGTTTCGGTATTTATTTATTTACTAAACAAGTATTTACTGGCCATCAACGATAAACCAGGTACCACTAGTCTAAGGGCTGGGATGTAGCAGGGAGTGAAGTAGTGAGGACCCCTGCTTTTGTGGGGCTCACAGTCCAGGCAGGGGACGACGGTGAAGAAATTCAGTGATTTGATGTGCACGGAGACGAAAGCAGAGTGAGGGGCAGTCGCTAGACAACCGCAGTCATTGAAGATGAGTCGCCGGGGGAGGCCTTCCAGAGGAGGTGACATTTGAGCAGGGAGCTGAATGAGGAGAGGGCGAGAGCTTTTGTGGCTATCTGGGCCAGCTAGGAGGAGATCATTCCAGGGAGGGCTGGAGGGCCGCAGTGGAGTTTTACCGGAGGAGTGAGAGGGTCAAGGAGTTTTCCAGTGCTGTACATAGGTTTTCAGTGGCTAGTGCCTCTAAGTGGGCAGCCTATTCCTTCTTTGTAGTCTGTTTTCCGTCTGGAAGCTCCACTTTGGGTGACTGCTGGCATCAGAAATATCAGTGACAGCTTTCAGAGAAAAGATGGAAGTTGTCCAGGAGCTCATCTTTCTTGGATCCACAACCATTGCTCATGGAAGCAGCTGTCAGGTGATCCAAGGATGCATAGTAAATTTGGTCGGCACGAGACCTGACAAGCACGGATGAAGGCCAGTGCCATAGCATTGTCAGTCGCCTCATATGCATGTGGAAGTCGGACATTAAATAAGGGAGGCTGAAGGAGAACCAGTGCGTTTGAACAGGGTGCCAGCGACAAGTGTCGACAGAACCATGGGCTGCAAAAAGAACAACAGCCCAAGTGCTCTTTAGAGGCAAGTATGGTGACACTTTGCCTCATAGAGTTTGGACTTGTCAGGACAGACCAGTCCCTGGAGAAGGGTGTCATGCTTGGGAAAGTGGAGGGGCAGCAAAAAGGAGGGAAGCCCTGGACCTAGTGAACAATTGGAAGGATGTCGCAGGACGGGGCAGTGCTCCGTTCCATTGTACGCAGGGCTTCTGTGAGTTGAATTTCCCCGATGGCATCTAACCACCACCACCAAAAACCAAAAAACCGAGCCTCGAGTGATGTACTGGCTCCTTGGCTTCTAGTGTGCACGTTAGTGGGAAGTCAGGTGAGTGGAAGGTGCAGGGCTAACGAATACCAGAACCTGAGGAGCACTTCCCAAATCACTCTCACTGTGTGGCCATGTGGCGCAGAGAGCCGACTCAAGAGAGCAGTAACAGTGAGGGCCAACTAGGCTGCCAGATGAGAGGTGGGGTGGCCAAGACCAGGCTGAAGATGAGAGAAGCTCATTGAATTCTGGATACATGGTGTGCACAGGTGTGTGCAAAGTTCTGTGTGTGCGGTGTTATGTGCCTGAGTGAGGGCAGGGAGGCTTCTGCGC